ATATACTATGTGCACCACGTGGTTCTTCATCCAGTCTATCTCCTTGTCTAGAAGTACACAGTTGTGGAGTTCACAGCATTCTACCGGAGAAACTGGCTAAATATGGCTGAGAGTGGTGTATACTTTGCTGGGTAAAAAACTTGCAGGACAGCTGGGCCCAAAGAGTTGTGGTGACTGCAGTTAAATCCAGCTGGTGGCTGGTCTCAAGTGGTGTTCCCCAGGGCTCAGTGTTGGGGCCAGTTCTGTTTAGTATCTTTATCAATTATCTGGATGAGGGGATTCAGTGCACCCTCAGTAAGTTCGCAGATGACACCAAGGTGGGTGGAAATGCTGATCCGCCTGAAGGCAGGAAGGCTCTGTAGAAGGACCTGGACAAGCTGGATTGATGAGGCCAAAGGCTCAGCAAGGCCAAGTATCAAAACCTGCAATTGGGTCACAACAACCCCATGCAACACTGCAGGCTTGAGGAGTGGCTGGAGAGCTGCCCAGAGGAAAAGAGCCTGGGGGTGCTGGTTGACACCTAGCTGAACATAAGCCAGCAGTTGCCCAGGTGGCCCAGAAGGCCAAAAGCATCCAGGCTTGTCTCAGGAACAGTGTGGCCAGCAGGAGAAGGGATGTAATTCTCCCCCTGTACTTGGCACTGGTGAGGCTGCACCTTGAGTGCTGTGTTCAGGTCTGGACCCCCTCACTGCAAGAAAGACATTGAGGTGCTGGAGCATGTCCAGAGAAGGGCAACAAAGCTGGTGAAGGGTCTGGGAAACAAATCTTATGAGAGCCTGAGGGATCTGAGGTTGTTTAGCCTTCTACAGCTACCTGAAAGGAGTTTGTAGCAAGGTGGGGATTGGTCTATTCTCCCTAGTAACCAGTAATAGGACAAGTGGAAATGGGCTCAAGTTGTGCCAGAGGAGGTTTAGATTAGATATTAGAAGAAAGTTCTTCACTGAAAGAGTAGTAAGACAGTGGAATAGGCTGCGCAGGGAGGTGGTTGCATCACCATCCCTGGAGGTGTTTAAAGACATGTAGATGTGGTGCTCAGGAACATGGTTTAAGCACTGGACTTGGTATAGTTAGATTAATGTTTGGTAGAGTTAGGCTATGGTTGGACTCAATGATGTTAAAGGTCTTTTCCAACCAGAACAATTCTATGATTGGCTGATGCAGAGCTCTGGATTCCTGTAAATTATGTGGTTTTTTTTCCTTCAACATAGTAAATTGGGATTTTAGTACTAAACTAGCTGGGTAGATATTTAAATTGAGCTGTGGGAAAATGCAATAGAGTAAAAACTATTTAAATGACACTGTGAGAACTTCCTCACTGATATGCCTGAATGATAAATTGGTGAAACTATTGTACCTGTAAAAGTGAAAGGGTAATTTAGTTTTCATGTTCAGAAAAACATGATCTATGACTTGTGATGGTATTTTTACACTAAGCAAACTTCACACTGGCAATGAACTGAAATGCTGCCAGTTTTAAATAATAAACTTACTTTAAGTGAAAGCTGACCACTCCTTGATATGCTTTATATTCTGTAAATGCCTTGTATAGAGCACTCTGGGCCCAACCCAGGAAAAAACATGCTTAAATGTGAGCGAAAAAAGAGACCAGGGGAGCAGCACTGCTCATGTACTTGAACTTATGTAACTGCTGCATTAGTTCCAACAGAACTGAAGGATTGTTTTCTGAGGGTTATTTTCTTTTTAAGGTAAACAGCCAGCTAATTTTTAACTTAGTTCTTATTATCTGTGCAGTCACTTTCTTCTGAACGTGTCTGTCCAAGCATCTGAAAAGCTACAGCACCCTCTGCATGCAAATAACATCAATCTAATGAATTACTAGTATTCACTGAAAAAAGTTCTCATAAATTTTAAGATAAAAAACACATAAAGTAAGACCTTTTTTCCCCCTTTTCATCTTCCAAGGGGGAAAAGAGAAATAAATTAAAAACAAACCCTCTGTTCAAGTCAGGTCATCATGACACAAAGCAGTACAAACCAATAAATCCAGCAATGCTGACAGTCTAGCCTGGCAGTATGCACACAAGCTTTTAAACCCTGGAAAGTTGGGAGGGATTTAGATATTGGCTCTGTGGCTGCAAGCTGACTTATCGGAAGGAAAGAAAGGTCAGCGTGCCACAAACAGCATGTCAGGCAAGAAATGTGTGTTTGGAGTTGCTCTGCTGCACGGGTGAAGTGCAGCCCCATCCTCTCCTGCTCTGGGAATACACTAACCTTAAATTTGTGCAGGTAGGAGAGTACAGGCAGGAAGGATCTCTACAGATACTATTGTCCATGCTACTGATATGCCACTGATAATTGAGATAGATATTTGGTTTTAGATGGGAACACAGGAAAGCCTCCCAATAAAGACAAATGTTACTGTACCTTGAAGGTAAAAAAAACCAACCAGAAGGTACTAATGAAGCATTGACTGGCCAGGAAATCCAAACTGGACTCTCAGCTTCTCTACTGTAGATGTAAAACAAGAAAACATAATTGCAATGCAGCTGGAGAAACAGCTGGAGTTCAAACTTACCTAAGCTTCAGGTTTTTTACGCACCACATATGACCAGACCATTCCAAAGTGCCATGAAATAGATGCAAAGTTTCTCAGACTATGTTTCCCTCTGGCACGGACTAGGTTTTAAAAAACTCACATTCCCCTTTCCCTGAAGGCTGGTCAAAACTGTTGATCCAGCTAAGATATTTGAAAACATGAGCCAAGTGTTCGACCTCTTGTATTTCTTTCAGCACAGCAGATACAACATGGAAGCAACTTGGTGTGAAAGAGCCGGACAGGCTGCTAGGGCTGGAGGTCTCGTCTTCTCTGTGCTGCACTGTCACAGCTCTCCAAATGCAGCTGGGATGCCACAGCCAGGCACTTCAACCTTCCAAAGAGCCTTTAAAATTATAAAGGTGATGCCTCTACAAAGCTTAATAACAACAGTAGAGCTCAATGGGAATGTTTGACTTTATGGTTTTGTTTGTTTGCTTCACTCAAGTACCAGCAGAAGGCAACACTAAGGGCCTTGGGTCAAAACATACCTGAACTGTAGGGAATTGGAGAGGCTTAGCTCCAGGCAGAGCTTGTGTTATTTAGTGTATGATGAAGAACTTCTAGTGACAGCTCAGACAAAACATTATGTCTGCATTCTGCAGAAGATGGCAAGGTTTCTAATTACTACAACAGGTCTAGTACCTTTAAAATGTAATCAGGCACATTGTGTGTGTCAGAAAACAAAGTCCATCCTCTTCTTTCTAGTTTTCAAAATGCAACGCAAGAAGATCCAGCATTGTTTTTTATGCCTTGTTCAGCATACTGAGAAGCACTACAAGATGTTTTATTTAGACATATTTGTAAAGCACAGTTAAAAAAAATGCCATCATCTTAAATAATAAAAAATGTAGAGAAATACAGTCACCTAAGAAGTCTTGTGCTCTCTTAAAAAAAACCCCAAAACACAAAAAAATCCCACTTTGCTGGTGGCTCTCTGGACACTGCTGCACTGTTGAAAAGTCACAGTACAAGAGCTTTCCATAGGGAAGGAAATGATCTTGTGTTTTGATCCCTGTTCACGTGTCTGTGCAATCCAGAGCAAACAATGTGACAGCATCAAAACGGAGACTAAAGTCAATTTTATGAACTGGCCTCAAGGCTGGAAGTTCTGAAATTAAAACAGCTTTTTCAAACTTCAATCAAGTAGTGAACACAGCACTTTCAAATTCATACAACAGCCACATTTAGCCGAGCTTGTTCTCTCTTACATAGTGCATTTATCATGACCAAGAAATTCTGGGGATTTTCTTCTAAGAGTTAGAGATCTTAAAGGAACAATTTTAAACTTTTGTTACCTATTCCAGAAGACATCTATTCTTCCTTTTTGATTATGCGTTTGAGATGAGCATTTGAGACTAGTCCACCATAGTGACATCAGCCTACTTGGCACAGATTTTAGGAACTGAGTAAAAGACAGAGGTATGTTGATCCCAGGCATTCCTAAGGCGAGCACACTGCCTGCTCTGTTTTCCAATTTCAGAATTAGGGTGCCAAGGAATAAATTTTAGTGTTGGAAGCTTCTGTTAACAGTTTAATCTAAAAAGTAACATAGACAGTCTGTTTATTCAATTGCAAATCATGCGGCAATGCTTAAATTACCAAAGAATGCATTGAAATACTGAAGTGGAATGGTTGAAATGGACTTTTTTACTAAGCTCCACGATTACGGCAAGTCAATAGAAAGAAAAATAAAGAAATCAAAACTTCAAAATATAGAAATAAAGAACTTTGTGTTATTTATTAAAACATAATCACTTTAAGGATCACAGTTAGAAATTATATGAAAGAAATTGCTTGTCTCTGGGCAGTTAGAAATGACAAATCTAGCCAACTAACACAAAAGTCTGCTTATCCAGAGCTGCATCTTTGCACCAGCTCTCGTGGGTTTTGCACTTCTATGAGGGAACCTCAAAAATGTTTTTATCCCCAGTAGTCATGCAGCTTCTTCTTGATTTTCTTTAGGAAATAACAAATAGTAGGATACCTTTAGATCTAGTTGCTGGTTGTCCACATGTTTGTCAAGATTCAGGACTTAAATTTTATGGACAAGTAACACCATTTACACTTTTAATGAAGGGCACCCTAATTTTATCAGGGATACTGAACTTACACCCAGGGAGCCTTCGCTCACATGACAGGAATACAGGCCAAGTTACACACCAGCAACATTTGCCATCACACCACAGATGCACCCAGTCTGTCATGGGGAAGAGCAAAAAAGCATATGGCCAGCAAGTACCCAAGAAAGACTCACCATTTTCTACACTCCTGGAGAATGTGTATAATTTTTAGTGAAAGGCAGAATCTGTTGTATTCTAATAAAATATTCTTGGGCTTTATCCTTTTCCCTGTTGTTTGAATTTAACAGCAATTTACTGCCTTGAATGCATGGGTTGCTTCATATCTATATCAAGTGCACAAACAGAACCACACTATAATTTTTCAGTCTTCTTGAATTTATAAAGCTAATTTAGTCCAATTCCCATTTTACAGTTACCCCAATTATAATGGCATGTCTTAAAAATATAAAATATGTAGCTCCACTAAGTAGTACTGAAATGAGTCTGATGTGTATAAAAATGTTTGTGGTCATATTTTCCATTTATTTTTGCATTTAATCACACTATAATTTTATGTTAATGGTTGATGAGTATTCAGCACTGGAATTCAAAACATTAAGATTATTAAAAGTTGTAGTCAGTGAAAACATCTCTATTTAAAGCTTCTGAAACACAGAACTTTCAAGTTGCTGAATTTAAGACAGCTAAGTGATTTAGCTTTAAAAACTGCCAAACTTTCACAAAAAATAACAAAAAACAAAGCTGAGTGGCTTTGCATGCACATTACTTCTGGAGTAATATACAATGAAATTTCCCTAAGCTTTCTCATTTTTGCAGGAGGGCTGCCCAGAATGCTGCAGGAAGCAGTACCCTGGAACTATGAGTACAGACAAGAATATGAATGTACATTTTGTGGCTAGAACTTCAGTTACTCATGAAGGTTTTGCAGCAACATCTACTTCATTTTGGATGCTGAGTTTGAAAGGATATTTCGGTGACACAGATGAGTTAATAAAAAGTGAAATATCCAAGAGAAAATGTGGGCAATATTTTAATTCCTCAGAAACCTTGTATAATGCACATGCTTCCATGTACCCATGGGCACAACGTGCTGAAGGAAGAAGTTTACAACCTGTCATATCAGAAATTTGAGAATGTGTAATATGTAAGAAAGGTGTATAAGATAACTGTTCTTAGAAACCTGAAAACTCTAGTAATTGTCATTCTTATGCATATCTAAAAAGCAATCTAGCCAAGTTTACAAAACATCTCTTATGACTTGTGATTTTTGCAGTTAAGGAATCAGAACCCACAATATGTACATCAAGCATCAATGGCTTCTGTATGTTACAAGTATAAAGCAGAAGGCAGAGTATGACAAATATACTGAAGTCCTGACATTGCAAAATCTTGACCAAAATAAACAAAAATGACCCAGAAATCATCTCTATGATAAGAGAAACAACATTTTCACTTTTTGTGAAAGAGAAGAGGTTTCACCATCCCTGCCAGAATCTTGGGTAGCTGGGCAGCAATCACCTCTGACATCATCTCGGGGAATTCAACACTCAGTGCACGGGACTGGAGAAATGTGTTCAGACAGAAGAGATGGAGCTGTTTCACTAGCTGGATTTAATAAAAGACAAACATGATGAATCAGACTAGCAGTAATCCAGACAAATAAACATGCTGTCAATCACTTATCTCATACATCCATCAGCTGACATAATTACATACCTTCCTCTCTTATTCTTGAATCAATAATGTCATTCTCTATTAAAATATCCTCCCATGCCAAAAAGTCACAAATAGAACTGAATGGTATGTCATATAAAAAGTGCCTCACTAATGTTAGAGTGTTATCCTCCTCATTCACGACAAGCACCATGAGCAATGGCAATTAATAAACAATTATTCAGTCTTTGATTTTATCCTCACATTCAATACATCTTCATGCCTTGTTTAGTCTATGCTATTCAACCCCTGCTCTGATGACAGCATTTGCTGTTTCCTTGTGTGCTGTTCCATAGTTCTGATGATGCTCATGTCTGGATCTGCTGCAAAATATTACACTCCATAAGCCCCAGTCCTTTCAAAGCAGCTGCTCAATATGAGTGACTACTTCACCTCTTCTGTCCTCTCTGAGAAGTTACAATTATATAGTTTTACTTTAAGATCCTTAATGTTGCTTTTATGTTGTAGAATTTCATACTATTTCTGTTACTGTAGGCTTTAACAACACACAGTATCTCCAACATTATTATCCTTTCCTTGTTATCTGCCATCATCTTACCAGCCTGTGCTAAAACAGGGACTTGAACTAAGATAACCTATAGACCAAACGCTACCCTAAACTATCACTTCACAGGGTATTTCGCAGCAAGCCCCGCTCCCTTGCTTCCACTGAGGCTATTTTACTTTGTTTAAGTATATGAAATGAAGAGACTGACCTTATAGCCCAGTACTTAAAGAGTTTTTCTCTGGATACTGTTACACACAGACTGCAAATTATTGCTACACATAAGGCAGGAAAACCTATCCCAAGCAAGACAGATCCAAGAGGTTCACTGAGCACAGGGCTACTATGAGTAGCATTATAGTGGGCAAAACTTGTTTTTACAAGTGAAAGGTGACTGACTGAGTTTCAGGGATGAGTTTAGCACTGACAGTCCCAGAAGACAACTGCAGTTGGACAACCAGGCAATACTGAAAGTTAAGCTCCATATTGTCCCTTTAGAATTCTCTAATGTCTACCTTCACCTGTAAGGGTGCTTTTCATACTTGTCTAATTCTCCTTTTGCTGCTATCTCAGATGATGTAATAGCTAAATGGTTAATGTGAGTTGTGGGGTTAGCAGAAACTGATGAAGAGGTTGGTGCAGTGGACCAAAAGACCACCCGCTGAACCACATAATTATCAAATTGTTACCTCTGACGGGGGGCCTACAAGAAAGCCATAGAGGGACTTTTTACAAGGGCATGTAGCAACAGAAAAAGGGGTAATGGCTTAAAACTGAAAAAGGGGAGATTTAGGTTAGACATGGGAAAGAAATTATTTCCTGTGAAGGTGGTGAGACACTGGAACAGCTTGCCCAAGGAACCTGTGGATGCACCCTCCCTGGAAGTGTTGAAGGGCAGGTTGGATGGGGCTTTGAGAAACCTGGTCTAGTGGGAGGCATCCCTGCCCATGGCAGGGGGTTGGAACTAGATGATTAAGGTCTCTTCCAACCCAAACCACTCTATGATTCTTAACTCCCATAAATGGGATCTTCAAAAGGTGTTGTTTTGGTTTTTTTTCCCATCAGAAGGAGAGAATAGTAACAATGAAAGGTTTTGGATCTATAAATGTAATTATTCATGACCAACTAAATTAAAACACAGATTTGCTGACTGCAGAAGAATATACACATGCGAAGATCCCATCTGTCCCTGAACTTGCAAGTTCCTCACAACTAGAACTGAACTCAAAAACACTCTTCCTGAACTACCAGTGCCACTTCCCCAGTGCTTGCTAAAACCATCAGGTATGGCCCTACACCTCCACTTTTTGCCTCTCTTGAAGAGATACACAAGCCATTACAAAATTATATACATATGGGCAAAGGTTTATATGAAATGTCATTTCTTAGTTTTAAAGGATATTAAGCCAATGGAATACATGTGGGATTCTTCGAGATGTGGAATGGATTCAGCTGCATCTTTTAAGACGCTTATGATCTCTATGCTATCACCACTAGAGTTCTCAAAGATTAATCATCCCCCAGCTACAGAAAGATACTGAAAACAATGGCATGGAATATACACATAAAGGTTGCAATTTTGATTGTCTTTCTTCTTAGAAGCCTGACTTGGCAACTTGAATTGCTTCTTCTTTGTAGTATTTAAATATTTTCATTAACATGTATACAGACACACACACACACATACATGCTGCCTCCTACCAAAAACCGTAGCTGTACCAGTGCCATTAGAGAAACCACGAAGCAAAGTGGTAGCATTCAAATCTTGTATACCATGTAATATATATACAATCTATAGATGCTGAATATATAGTCATCTATTCACACAAATATGCAAACTAAAGGAAATATGTAGGGGTTTTCTTTTGTTGCTTAGAAATGTTGAAAAGCCACTTTCCACAAAATTACTTTTAAGAAATACTAGTTCCTTCTTACATAAAAAGCAGAACACATTAACAAGTAAACTTACATCATGCATGGAATCCATGAGTTTTGTAAGTTGATAGAAACGTTGCGAGTTGGCCACAACGCCCTTCTGGCGCAAACCAATCGCCTTCACCAGTTCTCTAATGTAACTCGTTCTCATCTCATCAAATTGGCTTTGGCTTCTTAGACCTTCCAAAGGAACTGAAAAGCAATGCAGTTCATTATTATACGCCAGGCACTTTCAGTTCAACAGAAAAAATCAGGGAAAAAATCAGGCAAGTCTTGGGCACAATGCAGGTTCACTGTTTTAGATGTAGTATTAGAAAGAGATTCATTATGGTGTCCAGATGCTTACTTTTCTCCACTGTCTCTAAAATAATGTCACGGGGACTACCTCACATAGGTAAACAAATTGCATACTAGTTATCTAGGTATCTAGTGTATCATCAGTCTGTTATCAGACCATGACTAGTATCAGGCCAGGACAGTGGCAAATCTGTGCATTTCTTAAAAAAAAAAAAATGGAAGCTTTTTTCATAATGACATTGACTTATTAAACAATGTAACACAACTTTGAGATGTTTCGTTACTTTCTGGAATTAAAATATATGTGTGTGCTGACTCTCTGTACCATGCACTGCATAATCAGACACCTAAGAACGGAATTCTTAACACAGAAGCCACCTCAAAAGCAGATGGCTGCACAGGGACTGGACCTAAACTCACTTCCTAAAAGAGAATTAGGTTGCTATCCCTGAAAAACACTGTTCTCTATTTGGAAATCATAAACCCTGTTCTGAAGTCAGTTGCCTACATCATGCCTGGTTCCTCAGAAGAAGGTATAGGGAAGAAGATATTTAAGGCAAACAGATTAAATTAACAGTCCCTCACCTCCAGCCCAGAGAGAGGTAACAAAGCAGAAGTTCCATTCTCTATTTAGGCAGAAGCCACCTATTTCGTAGGGCACTGCCCAAGAGAGGGAACAACTCAGTTTCCCAAGGATGTCTCTTCCTCCATGTCTCCTCAGACAAGAGAATGTCTGGGGGAAGGAGACACATATACAGAAAACAGCAAGTTTACTTTAAAAGACAAGTGTCTGAACATGGAGATGGCTATGGAAGTCACGGTCTGACTCTTAACTAAAACAGAATTCAAACAAAAATATAGAGTAGCATTTGTAAGTGCTTCTGCTGAAAGTATGTTTGTAACACTATATCTAACAATAGCCCAGCTTTTAGGGATGTCTATTAGATTTCTTTTGGCAGCTGATGGAAATGAAATGAGGGACAAGGTGGACCTTTGGTTTGACTCAGCCACTCAAGGCCAGCCAGCCTCAGGAGGTATCTGAAGGTGTGCCTGTCACATCGGTGTCAAGGGTCTAAATGGAAGGGAAGAGTTCTGTTTTGTGGAGAATGCAATATGCTTAGGAGTAATACAGGCAGGAGTACTCACAGTGGAGAAGAGTTATGTAATGGAAAAAGAACAGCGTAATTTTCAAAGTCTGGATGGTTCTGGGTTTGTGTAACAGTAGAATTACAGACACCTATGAAATCTTTCTCATATAGAGTGACATTCGGTTGGAATTTAGGGTTAGGTGGATACTTTCTTTGACTGAGATCTCTAAAACAGCAGTTAAGCCCTTACATTTCTCTTATGAATTAAGTTAAAAGTTCTCTTCTAGCAACGCACGGCCTGTTTCCCAGAATTCTGCAAAAGCACAGTCACATTCCCATCTAATCACAGGAGGTTCCACTAAGCTATTGATTTGTGTGAAGAATTATAATGTCTTACATGCATAAATGCAATTTGAACACAGGTAGCTCAAATGCTCCTTCCCCCTAAACATATGCCAAGAATGAGGATGTGGCAAGAACCCAACCATAATCTTATGCAACAGGATTGTGCAATTTCTCTAAATCTAAAGCCTGGGAAGGGTTGGAGCTACAGCTGAACCTGCTATATGATTATTTCTCTCATTTTTTTTGCTTAGCTCTACCTTCTAAATCATAGTATTTCTGAACTGTTTATATTATTAATTCCTAGACCTATGTGGCTTCTGCAAGATACTGCCCTATTTAGAACTTTTGGGGCACTGCCACAAGACTGAATACTACATACAGTACATAATGACCTATAAAATGGAAACAATTGCAGAAAATAAAAATGTTGGTCGATTTTTTGTGGAGACTAATTCTAATTTCAAGACAGCTTTAAAACTGGCACAAGTACAATATAAAGAAAACAACTAAGCAACAGCACACTCAATGAAAAACTGTAAATCAAAAATATTGTAGAAATTTAAACTGGGGTTTCCATTGAGAAGTAGAAATGTATCAAGGCTGACATTCAGTTATGTTTAATACAAAGTACTGTTTTATGAAATGATATAAAAAGTAAAAAACAGTTCATCTAAATAATAAACCAAATACAAGACAGAATGAGAGACTAAAAATTCAGACTTGATTAACTGTTAGAATATGAAAGCTCGAAGTGGTCATACTTTCACATTTGAAGAGGATTAAGATGAATGCCATGACTAAAACAAAAGTAGTCTTAAAAACCACTCATAGTAACAATGAGGTTATATAATTTTTTGAAAAGTTTTGCAGACAGACATTTACATAGTACCAAACATTTACTAAACATCTCAGCAACTACGGTTAGGTGTGCATCTTTTCCCAAAAATCTAACTAATTGTTTTTGGCTTTAAGACATTAAATGCAGAGGAGAACAAAAAGCAAAACTCATCAGCACAGGCAGAAATACTTTCTTTTTTACCCCATTTTTAAATACATAAATATATATCTATAACAAAAATATTATATATATATATAAAGATGATATAAATGTATAAATATGTGTTTCTGAGGGCTGTGCAGTTGATAAAGAATGGTAGCTTGATGAATATTGTTAAACTGATGCACTCATCAGAGGGATTGGACTACTGCAATGATTTTTTAATTTTGTTTGAACTTATGGAACAACAATAGAGAGCTGGAATATCACAAATGTATTGGTATTTCACTGAAATTTAAAACTTCTCTCTAAGCTTCAAATAGACAAGGGTCTTAATTTTGTGATGAAAACAAGGTGGAAAGCATTTAAAAAAGGAATATGTTTAAATTTCAACAAAGCAACTGCAGTTATATCAGAGAGGGATTTTTGCCCACATTATTTTTATTGCTTCAGCAGAGTGTATGATATTTTGCTATTATTTTAGTAATTTTATGTTCATATGAGCTAAATTTAATCTTTACTGCTTATGGTCTGCTGATGCTTACGCAAATACCAGCCAAGCACAGCTTAAGAGGGAATAAATTTTTGTTCCTTGTCTTTTACTGAAGCTTTGTCCAATCAAGAAGCAGGTTATGTGCAACATGCACATCCCCTCTGACTCCTTAAGTATGTAGAGAACCAAATTTCAACATTAAAAAAATTACATTTCTCACAGGCATCCACTCTCATTCTAATAGCATTTTAAAACTTTCTATTTGTGGATTCATAACTAACAGTTACGGCCTCAGAAGATGTACATTTTATTATTTTTAACAAGGTTTTGGAAGATAACTTCATCAACTATCACACCTCCCATATAAAGTGGAATGCAACTGTATGCTGGGTTCCTTAAAAGATGGGTATGATTAAAAGCGACCATGGATTTTGTTCTGAAGAAACAAATCAAAGGAAAACATTTCCATTTGTTTAAATCTGTGTTAAACTCAACCTATTTATAACTATAAAAAGTCAAATAAATTTTAGTATTGTTTGCCTTGTCAAGTTCACTAATTATTTTGAGTAAGCATGCTTTAAGTTCTTGGCTAAGATAAAGCTGTCAGTCCTGAAAATTTATTAAATATTTTTAAATATATTTCCAATGCTTGAAAGGTTTGGGTTTTTTTTAATCTGTGCAGACTCATTTAAGCTGAAGAGCTTCCAGGCAGATTTACTGCACATTTGATTGGAAAATGCATAACACAATATAGCTACATATCAAATGGGATCCAACATTTCCTCAGTGCTTTTATACAAAATAAACCAAACAACTAACTACAAATTATTTGTTCCATATAAACACTAGAAAAAAATATTTTTAGTTCTTGAAATGCTATTATTCCTCCTAAATAAGTTTCCATTTCTTAAGCCAGCATAGCTCAGCAATTGTCAAGTTAAACAACATGGTTCAAAACTCTTTTCCTAGTGGTAAGTTAGACAGAAAGAAAAGAACCTACTTGTGTTGAGAAGTAACAGTGCTTTCATACACAGGAACTCTTCTTGGCTAACTTGAAGTCTGACAAACTCCTGTGGGAGTTGCCACATGGATAGACACAGGGAATAGAACGAAGATTCTTTCATCCTCTGTCTTACACCCAGAAAAGGTAAAAAAAAAATTAAAACATGAAAATAAAGAAAAGGAATGGGTCCAGTACTCGTCGCTTGAGGAAATGACTTGTTACCTATTTAATTACCACATTACAGAAATTAAAGAAAGAGGTTATACACATAAACAATTTGCTGACTTTTCTGTACCTACATTAGCTTTTTAAAAGTAATGAATGTGCTATTATTTTGGAAGCTTAATCAGTTACTGCTGCCTAGAAAAAAATCACCTTGAAGATTATCAAAGCTGAATGCTAACCACCAAAAAAGAAGGGATTTTATTAATTAAAAGCATCCTAATAATTAAAATTAACTATTTTTCTCTTAGAGGTTTAAAGATTTTTACCTTCTGTGAAATTATTTCAAAGCATAAAATTGAAGATGAACCTACAAGTTTATAGAAAACTTGTTCTTAGGTTTTGCAAAAATGTCTGCATCAAAATACTTTGCTGCAAGTCTAACACTGTACTGGTAACAGCAATTACAGTATTTTGTAGCACTTTATGCCATTAAAGAAACAAAAATATTAAATGTAAATATATACATAAAAATATTTAAGTGAACTTGCACAATAATTCAGCCTTACCTATAAAGTCCTGCAGAACGAAACAGAGCAAATCACACAAGGAAATACATAAAACTATTTAGTTTTTTGTGGCACTTTGATCTTTCTTTTCTCTTTGAGATTTCTGTATACTGAGTATATTTTATACCACATAGTTACTGGGAAGGCAGTTTTCAATGGAAATTACTGAAACAACTTCTACATTTGTAAACTAAAGTGAATGCATTGTACATTAACCTGAAGATCCAGGGGCTAATTTTACAAAGCTGCATCCTGATCTAAATGACTCAGGTACAACAACCACAAGATTAAATTTTGCCTGTCCCCGTTACAAGGTTCAGATCAGTGTTCCAACCTGACTCCAGATAGTACCCTCAACAAGGAAAACAAGATTTTCTGTGGAAAAAGACTTCTCTCAATGCACTGTTTGTTTTCTTCTTCTGCTAATTAAAGTGCTAGGGTTATCTTTAAAGAAAATTATTTCAGCTTTGTTCAACATCTGGTATCTTACACCAGCTCTTAATGTGGACATTTGATCTGTTAGATCTAAAATGACTGTCTTTTCCTACAGCTACTTGAAATCTCCCTTGCTATTCCTTTCTGGCAGTCTCTGTTCCTAAGTGGTATCTATGAAGAGTGACAGCAGCTCTCAGGGTATTCTTAAATACTGTTCTTAGTTATATTTTTCAGACACTGCAAAGTATAAGTAGCAGTAAATCTTTGTAGGTTTTTAATACTAATTCATTAAATCATTGTCAAATTAGTACTTCTGGCTTCACTGGTCTAAAACTGATGCTACCAAACAAATAATTCCAAAGGAGCACTACAACTCAGTTCACTAAATGACAGAGTGGCAGTGGAAATTTTCAGATTGTGGTTTCATGGTCATTTTGAAACAAGTAAAATGTATGTTGACCCTCAGATGGAATTTCACTTTCCACCTCCAGATGTGCACTTCTGCTATTCTGGCATCAGTACCTGATTACTTGCTAATTAATGTATTTTTCTGGGGTATTTATCAAGCATATAAACTCCTTATCTGCTTGACAGTGCAGCCAGATACTGTTTGATACAGCTTAAGTGAAATTATGGCGATGCATGAGCAGGGAAGCAGGTGGAGTTGAATTTTTTGGCTGTGTCCAGCACTTAACCTTTGCCTAAAGAGATCAGGAAAGTACAATTTTAGACATCATTGTGGACATGGAAGTTGCTTAAATTTTACTGATCTAAAAGCAAACTGATTTCCCAATATATTGTTTTACTATCATTTAGTGTGCCAGTTACTTTTCATGCCTAACTCTTTGTTTAAGTTTCTAATATGACCCTGAGAAGGTGTTCTACAACCAAAAGAAGGGTATTTTGCCACCTCTTTCTCAATGCAGATGGACTAGAGCTGTAAACAAGAAGCTGCCTCTCAGGGATTATAATCAGGGTTTGTAAATCTCAACCCTATTCTTCAGGAAGTCTTCTTCACGAGGTGGCAGCAGTGGTCCACTTACAAGCTAATACCTCAAGACCTGACATTACTGCCTGAAGTCATCTCACTCTGTTTCTTCCTTGAAAGTATTTCAATTTGTATAGCATAATTAATACACATGTGAGAGGAAAGGATTCATTACCCTATAACCTCACAGTCATTTACTGTCATCTGGAAGAGAAAAGGTCAGGAGCTACAGGGCCAGCTCCATTGGATATTTTTAATACAGAGCTTCACTGGCAAGAAGCTGCATATCTATCAATTTCAAATTCAGGCACCTAGATCTTCTGCAAATCCACCTCTTAATACTTGAAACAGATATGTCTTAAAAGAAAACCTGATTAAGAATTTTTAAACAATAAATGCACTTTAGAAAAAATTTACCAGAGAATGTCAAAAACAACTATTTCAGACTACAAACAATTTGCAAAAAACCACCCAAAAAACAATGACAAAAGAAAACACTACTTAGCACCAATTATGAAATGTGAACTCATGGCTTATTCAGATTAGTTCAGGTAAATCTTCTGACAGCATTTTTATTTTTTTTCACTTAGATAATTAAAAAAAGTTACTGAACTTTATTATGACCAGAGGTTTTTCCTCTGCTCATAGATTTTAAACAGAACAAACAATGAATGAAATCTTAGCCTTAATTAAGTTACATACTCAATGACACAAATAAGTTCAAAATCTCATTCATACTAAGCAAACAGTAGAGTCTACTTACTCATTTAGAATCAGATCTGGTGCAAAATATAACATCTGACCACTGACATGTTTGTATGATCTCCATCCCATTGCAAAAACCATTAGACTCATCCACGAGTACTGGATGAGAGTTATCTGATCATCAATATGTAAATTCCGAAATCCTGAAAATTAAATTAAAAGTTTAAAAAAACTTTATAATTCTCATTTAAAGAAGAGGTGATAAGTTGTTCTGAGATTTACTTTGAACTATAAAACTGAGAACTCTGACAGTTAACCTTGTCTTTTTGTTCTGGTCCAATATTTCAAAATGGTCAAACCAAAATTAACATTAGGAGTCAGAAGTGACTATAACAGGAAAAACAAATGCATTTAATTTTCCTTTGGTAAAAATATGACAGTTTGAAACATGACCTCTCTAATAACCAACTCTTTATTTAATATAGATATCTTGGACGTCAGTGTTCTTAGCAAGAGATACAGTTGTAATATAATAAACATCCACATATAAATATCTCCCACAGCATCCTCGTGGATAAACTGAGGAAGTGTGCTCTTGATGATCAGGTGGTGAGGTGGATCATGAACTGGTTGAAAGAAAGAAGTCAGAGAGTTGTGGTCAATGGGACAGAATCTAGTTGGACGTCAGTGACTAGTGGAGTCCCTCAGGGGTCGGTACTGGGACAGGTACTATTCAATATTTTCATCAACAACCTGGATTAGGGAACAGAGCGTGCCCTCAGCAAGTTTGCTGATGAAACTAAACTGGGAGGTGTGGCTGACACACCAGAAGGCTGTGCTGCCATTCAGTGAGGCCTAGACTGGCTGGAGAGTTGAGCAGGGAGAAACTTGATGAAATTCAACAAGGGCAAGTGTAGAATCTTGCATCTGGGGAAGAACAACCCCATGTATCAGTGCAAGTTGGGGGCTGACCTGTTGGAGGGCAGTGTAGGAGAAAGGGACCTGGGGGTCCTGGTGGACAGGAGGATGACCATGAGCCAGCAATGTGCCCTTGTGGCCAAGAAGGCCAATGGCATCCTGGGGTGTATTAGAAAGGGCGTGGTTAGTAGGTCAAGAGAGGTTCTCCTCCCCATCTATTCTGCCTTGCTGAGGCCACATCTGGAATATTGTGTCCAGTTCTGGGCCCCTCAGTTCAAGAAGGACAGGGAACTGCTTGAAGAGTCCAGTGCAGAGCCATAAAGATGATGGAGTGGAACATCTCCCTTATGAGGAAAGGCTGAGGGAGCTGGGTCTCTTTCGCTTGGAGGAGACTGAGGGGTGACCTCATCAATGTTTACAAACATGTTAAAGGGCGAGTGTCTGGAGGATGGAGCCAGGCTTTTTTCAGTGACGTCCAGTGATAGGACAAGGGGCAGTGGGTGCAAACTGGAGCATAGGAGGTTTCACGTAATTATCAGAAAAAACTTTTTTACTGTGAGAGTGACAGAGCCCTGGGACAGGCTGCCCAGAGAGGTTGTGGAGTCTCCTTCGCTGGAGACATTCAAAACCCGCCTGGACGTGTTCCTGTGTGATGTACTCCAGGTGATCCTGCTCTGGCAGGGGGGTTGGACTGGATGATCTTTTGATGTCCCTTCCAACCCCTAAGATTCTGTGAAGATTCTGTGATCTTTCTTGCATTTAACTACAGAGAAGAGTTGTGTGTTTGCCTTTGATAACTTTTGTTCTCTGACAATTTTGAAGATTGCTATGAGACACCTGGGTCAATCTAACAGCTTCCTGCCACTGAAAGCAGTGGTCCAGTTCTTCATTACCTGGTCCTGTTACCTCCTGCAAGCAAGCTCTGGTATTCATGCCACTCCTCAGTGAACTAACTGGTTAAGCTCATGAAGCCATGAAAAAACTAGAGAGGATAAAGAAAACAAAAAAGGTCTGTTTTCTTTATCACTTAATTTGATGAATCAGTTCAACCAAGAGGTGTGACCAAGCACAAGCTAAAATGGGGAACAACAGGGATAGGGATTACCCTTTCCTGCAAGAGTGAAGTGTCAAACCAAGCTGACATGAAACTGCATTTCCAGACTTTCTGGTCAATATATTGATTTTTTTATCTCCCAAGATCAGGTTCCTTTGACCATACAGAGCATGTAATGTATATATGAGTCATTTTTTCTGGAACAGTCTTGGATATTCATACATTCAGTTATTTCTCACCACCAGTCTATTTGTGAGCTGGTAAGTCCTAACTGGTATTATTTGTAACAATTTTTCTCTGTTGCTTTCAAAAAATCATTTGAATAAGAATAAAGAATATGCATACATGTTTTTCATACCAAAAAATAAGTACCAGACTAGGAGGCATTAGGGTTGAAAGGCTGCTGTAATAGTCATGTACAGAAACTCCTTAGGCTTCTGTTGCTTTTTGGAGTGAGTCCAAATAATGCATTTCTTAGAGTGCCCTATTAAATGTATTTGACTGGTGCATATATTATCTGATGAAGCGGAAGTTTAATATTTTAGGATTTGTTAAAAATTAATTAACAGGTAGATGAGAATCTATTTTCACTGCTAGTCCTATGACATACTTGCTTAACTAGAATTCACTACAAATAAAAAGTGTTATTACCTGGTAGCAATTTAGACCACTTGACTACACAAAGGAGTTGCCTCTCACAAAGATGATTTAAACTGGTCAGCAAGGAACTTGGTGTTTCAGGTTTTGTATTGTCATAACCAGCATAGACAACTTCTGGCTCAATGCCTCGTAGAACACTTATCATTGGGGGAACAAACTGTATTTCTTGATTTGGAGAAAAGGACAGCCTTTGGGCTAGAGACTGGCTTTCATCTTGAAGGGTTGCTGGCTGCTGGAGTGCAACATCTAATGTTCTCACAACCTTCATTTTGTTAAACTTTTTAAATTTTCGACCTGAAGAAGAAAATTGTTGATCTGTTAAAAAGAATTAACCAGAAACATTCACATTTTCCAGTAGTGCTGGATTACAGTTTTAATCTATACAAGGAAACTAGAACTGTCTTCAGAGTGAGTTTTCTATTTTTGACTATTTATATAATTCAGAAACAATAACGGAAAATTCTTAAGAGTTTCTCCCTCCATACCCTCCTCCCTTCACAAGAGATGAATGGTACCCACCCATTAAAATTATTGCCATGAATTCTAGGTTACAGTAACCTCATAAAGTGTTTTATGGGTCAGTTCCCACTGTTCCATCATAAATCGACAGCTGAGCCAGCTGGCTCTACAATCCAGTTTCTATTAAACGTTAATTAAGGATACTGGTTGGTTTTTTCTACCTAATATTCAGAAACAAAAATGCTAGTAATTAATTACTACATACAGAAAATCCTTTCTTCTAGTTCCAAAAAAATTTATGGCTAAATTCTTTTTTGATTATTTGTAATGTAGTATTTTCCTCCTGTTTAGCCAAAAGAAAATAGAATTCAGGGGCAAGTGAAAAGCCAACAAATACTGTAAAACCACATGTCAACACTTTAAAAACTCTTCACTTTCTAGAGAATTATTTATCTTCCTTAGTATTTGTAATTCTCATTTCCATACTGTAGTGGTTTGAAGAACTCTAGCTGAAAAATAACTACATAGTTTAACTATCTTTCAAAAAAAAAGAACAGCTAATATATCTGGCATGGCTATGCAAACATATAGAGTTCTAGGTAGCAACTCTTCAAGTCTCTTTCATGGAAATAGTCTGGAAGTGCACCATACAGACAGAAAATCTAACCTTTAGAGACTGGAAAGACCATAAGCCTCAGTAACATACCATACTACACCTTCCAATAAAAAGGCAAATCCATGTAGAGGTGGCTGCATGGAACACATGCACTATAAATAAACCCTCCAAGATTATGAAAACCCTGTTGAATCGTGAAATTCCTTAGCTCTGCAAAAGTTTTGCTTAGTGAAAAAAGAGTGTCACAACAAAAAAAAACATTCAGTAAAGATACTGGTATTTATGGTCTGATTTACATGACAGTGGGACAGTAAGAGAGATGTAGTCTGACTGCCAGCAAAAAGCAAATTATTCTGCCAACACTGAAAAATAAAAATTTTACGTTTCAACCTTCAAGAAAACTGTAAGAAGGTCCTGCTCCAAGAAAAGAAGTATTTTTTCTTGTTGAGGTTTTGCATCCTTTAACAATAGAAAAAGAGATGCACCAAATTTCACTGGATGAAAAGAAAACCCATGCCTATTGCTGAACCACTAAGAAATTACATTTCAACGTATTTTATACAGAATGAATTCAATTAATTATTCTTAGCGTATACTAGCATAACTGGAGGCAGAATCAAACCTCTTTTTTGTGAACATGACAGGATTCAGCAGATGAACACATTCTAAAAAGCAAAAATGTGCTTTTAAAAAGAATGTAGTTTTGTGTTACCCCGTCATAATTAGATGTTTATCCATTTCCCATACAAACAAGCAAGTTGTACACAGAGTGAAAAACTTCAATTTAAATTTAAAAAGTGTTCAAAATATAAAAGGGTTCATACTAAATAGAATGTCAAGAAGTGCACTTTATTGATAGTAAAAATATGGGTGTTGGACTCTTCAGTAACATTCATCATCCACTGAAGTCAGGGGTCGAACCCCCAGTAACTTAACTGTGAGTTTAGTTAGCTTAGTGTCAAGTGCCCCAACAATCTTATGCTCATTTTATCACTTGTGGTAAGAATATAAATAATTCTGATTAGTAAAGAACGAAACACAAATTTACACCTTATGCTACAGCTGAACTGAAAAAAACACCCCAAAGAATAGACAATTTATTATGATAAGAGACCTAGGGCCAATTTCTATCACAACAAAGCTATACATAGTCCTAAAAAACATGCTGGGAATTTCCCACTAACTATTGTTTAGACATGAAGGAAAACAGAAGGAACAATGCATCTAATAGTTCATAAATAATGATTTCAGGTATTTTCTGCAATAATGGCTTCAGATACTTTTACAGTTCAGAGAACAAGTAAAGAAAGAAACCAAACAGAGTGCTTATCCCATGCAAATCTTAGTAGTTAATAAGTACCCATGTTTCCAAGCGATTAAATGGATCAGAATTAATGTCACACTGGCTTGCAGAATTGCTTATGTGTTTATTTCTAATTATGTTGCTTAACAGCCACCAGTAAAGCAACTCCACTTGTTCCTCATCTACCGGAGAGGTGACTACTAACCCACAGGAAACCATCTACCACAAGGAGACCATGTCTAATTAATTAAAACTCTTAAGGAGAAGTAGAAAACAACAAAGACGTAATGATAGCTTTCTTTTTCAATTGCTGCTTACAAAAATATCCAAATAATTTCCTGCTGTAAGATAAACAAATGTCTCCACTTAGTCCTATAATGTGTAACTGCCAGTAATCCTCTCTGGCAACTATTCTTCTAAATACTAAAGCCTATCTGTGTGTATTTACACAGCACACCTTTTCTCTGCTACATTTTCATTATTTTTTTAAGATAGCCAACCACTCAAGCAGTTTATTAGTATTCACAGTTTCCATACCCTCAATTACTGCAAATAGCATGTGCATAGTGTTTGTGTACTACAACAGGAAACACAAAAAAAAGAATATGTACTTAATCTCATCATCAAATATAGTATGATTTTCTCCTATACAGAACCATACTTCCAATCAGACAGTACTGATAGGAGATATTTCATATTAAAATTGCTGGGTTTCTAGTAAAACATCTCACTATCCTTCTCCATATCCTGTAATGAGGTGAAAAATGTCAATGATTTATTATTCTTGACAGAACACGATGGCTCTGACTTTAAGGTCACTATGCTCTTATGTTTTGTGTAGAAGAACAAGCTGTGTACACCATTGGAGGGTGCATACAAAATAAAGGAACAACGCAGCAAAGCAGAAATAATACATCTTGGTTTTAAAAGCCTCTTTGATGCTACCTCAGAAAATACTACCTGGAAAATTAATTCAAATTTGTCTCCACGTAATCATTGCAACATGGACTGAAAGCTGATTGAAACAATGAAGAAAGCAATAATTAAGAAATACAGCAGAACAAAGAATCTGTGACAGCTGGTCTGGGAAAATGAGATTCTCTGACAGGAAATTAAAAACCCAGGTATTGGTTTATTCCAGGAGCTGACACCGTTTGCTAGCCTATTAGAATGAAGATTAGAGATAGATTAACATGTCCAGTTATGAGATGAAAAAACTCTAAAGACAATTAACACTCCCACATATTATGATAATGCAGGAATTATGAAATATATGTTTGCATTTATATTTGTATATATAAAGAAGAAACAGTCCATACAGTAAAACTCAGTTACTAAAGCCATCCCATAATATACTTAGAACTGCTAACAACTTATTTTAAAACAGTGCCAGTTCATTTAATTACTTCAAAATTTGGGTTGGAAAATAAAACTGTTGTCAATGTAACATAATATTATTCTTTACCTACACGGCTGCTATTCAGTAACATTCAGTGGAAGTAAGTGTACTTCTCATAACAGTAAATGTAATTTAATCACTGCAATAACAGTAATTAACAGTTAATACCCTGTATAATCTTTGTCTTTTTCACCTTGATGAAGCAATATTGGAGGTCCACATTTAGTAACAGAAGGCTAGCATTAAGAAACTAACTTACAGGAGTAAAAGAATAGAGGATATCTGTGTAAATTCTGAATGGCAGAAACCATATAATGCACAAAAATCTTAAAACATAGTAGGCTGTAAACATACAGAAAGGTTTTAACTATTGTCAATTCTGATTGGTTAAAAATTCAAGGATGTATGTAAGTATGTAATTTGTTCCACGAATGGGATATTTTTTGTTACGGACACATCCTGGAGAAAATCATCTGTGCTCAGTAGTATCCCATATATGAATCATACTCTGCTACCAGCGTATCAAGTCATGGGTAGGAAATATTGTTCATGTGATACAATACAGCAAGCATGAGAAATGGCAAAACAGAAGTGAGAAAGATGACAGAAACAGTAGAAAGAGCATTGTGATTAAACAACTTGTCTTGAGTCTTTTTGTTCTTTCGGATTTTACATCCTCATTTGCAAATAATATAAAGCAACTCCTGTTTCCTCTTTTTAGCTTCCTAATCCCCCCAGAACTGTTGACATCACTAAGATCACCTGAAATACTACACTCAACCTGAAACAACTAAGAACAAACTAGAGATGCCACAGTCCTAGCTCCATTCAGTATTTCCTTTTTTCCATTGCCTCAGTGTTTTCTTCTCCTTTTTATTTGCTGCCAGATCACTTATTTCCAAAAGATGGGGTGGGTAGGACTCTGTACTATCATACTATATTCGATTATGACATTAAGTAGATTTTTTTTAATTTCTTGGTGTTTTTCTGCACACTTTCCAGTAGGTGGTAATACCAAGGCAGAGATCTAATGAGATTCCATGCTCCTAAGAGAATTGGAAAAACTAGACTAAAACAGTCTCCTTAAGAAGCGGAAGTTAGCTTTGAATAAGTATATTGAGAAAAGGGCTAAAAAACACAACAAACTGCTTACAACAATTTAGCTCTAAATTCAAATAAATTATTCACACTTGCTTAGTGCTAGATGAGAAAAAAGGTGATCTAAAGAGAAAGAGGAAGTTTTTACTCTTTTTATACATGACAGTAAAGAATGAAGAACAGGAGCACCTCAGGTTTGGTTTCAAGCATGAGTACGTAACATCCTCATACAAGGAAGGACACAATAATGAGGATATACCATCTCATAAACATTGGTAGCAAAAGCATCCAACTTTTTCCATTTTAGGTACCTACATCCATAGCAAAATGTATGTATTAAAAAACTCCAGGAAAACTAGCATCCATAAACATATGCAAAACGCAGAATAATGTCAAGCCTTCTGGCTACTTTTCCTATGTAGAATTACTATGTAGAAGAAAGCTGAAGCAAAAGGAGTAGCTGATGCTAGTGAGCCATCTCACTCTTCTGCTTGTTCAAGCTGTGATGCTTGGGAAGTTAAAATAATTGGGAATTAGTTATTAGCACTATCCAGGCTATCATATGTGGAAATACAAGTTAGATCATCAAAATCTTCATTTTGCAAAACTCACAGCCAGGTATGAATATTTACCTGTATTAATTTACACCAGCTAGAATCATAGAATGGGTTGGGTTGGAAGGGATCTTTAAAGATCATCTAGTCTACCCCTCCTGCCATGTGTAGGGACATTTTCACATATCAAATTCCTCAAACCTTGCTAGACAAACTTACATGTTGTCTCAAACTTTACAACACAGACGCTATAGCTGCCACCTTCTCCTTTCCTGAGTCTCCTTTTTACCACACATTTTCCACAGCTCACTCTGGATATCTGCCTCCTTGGCTTTCTACCTTTCCAAACCTGGGGGACTCTTCCATTCACCTGGGCACATAATCTTTCAAAGTGCAGGAAGCAGGCAGAGACAGTAACACCAGTTTCACCAGTACAGATTAGGAGCTGACCTGCTAGAAAGCAGGTCTGTGGAGAAGGACCTTGGAGCCTTGGTGGACAAGTTATCCATGGGACAGCAATGTGCCCCTGTGGCCAAGAAGGCCAATGGTATCCTAGGGTGCATTAAGGAAAGTGTGTCCAGCAGGTCAGTGGAGGTTCTCTACTCTGCCCTGGTGAGACCACATCTGGAGTGTTGTGTCCAATTCTGGGGTTCCAAGTTCAAGAGGGGTGAGGATTTACTTGAGAGTGTCCATTGGAGGACTACAAGGATGATTAAGGGACTGGAACACCTGTCTTACCAGGAAAGGCTGAGAGACCCCAGGCTGTTTAGTCTAGAGGAGAGAAGACTGAGAGGGGAACTTATTAATGTACATAAATATCTGAAGGGTAGGTGTCAAGAAGGAAGGCCCAATCTCTTTTCAGTTATGCCCTGGGATAAGACATGAGGCAATGGACTCAAACCAGAACACAGAAGTTCCACCTCAACATGAGAAAGAACTGTGAGGGTTACAGAGCACTGGAACAGGCTGCCCACAAAGGTTGTGGAGTCTCCTTCTCAGGAGACTTTCAAGACCCATCTGGATGTGTTTCTGTGTAACCTACCCTAGGCAATCCTGATCTGGCAGGATCTGAAAGTCTAGGGAAGTTCAGAATCATATAATCATGATTGTATGATTATATTAGAAAGAGGAAAGTTTTTTCTCCTTCCTTTTTTTTTTTTTAAAATTCCTTTTGTGGACATATTCATTCTATCATCTTAGAGCACGAACTAGTACAAAGATGGGAATTCTCAGCATCTAGTACGTGAAGTCTGTAGTGTTTTGCAACTACTGCCTGACCCTCTTCAGTGGAACAGAGGATGTGATTTTGTTGACAGGCACTCAAATCTATGATGGTGAGAAGGGGATAAAAGAGAAGGGGATAGTACTAATTCCTGATTTTACTGCCAATCCCAATTTGCTTCTTTACATCTTACCTAAATCAAGTTTTCTGATCCAAAATTATTAATAAATACACACCAATACAATTCCTGCCCATTCAAGAAAATGAGTATAAGGGAGAGAAAGATTTCTACAGAAAGACATTTTTGTTTCAGAATTCCAGACTTTAAAGAAAAATCATAAGGAATGTTAAAACATCAGGTAATTATTCCAGAAATAATATTTTTATTTTTATTTTTCCCTTTACGGTATCAAAGCAATATTGATCAAACTCAACAGGTTGAAGGTAGTGTTCCTGACTGCCTAATTTCCTGCATCAGATTTGAAAAGCAGCTCACCTCCCAGAACCATCCCAGCTTGACAGCACTTCCTCAAGCGACATGCTGGACAGTTCTTCCTACGAATTTTATCAACTATGCAGTCATTTCTTCCAGCACATAAATAGTTGTGCTGCCCTGTAGGCAAGAGAAAAACAGGATTAATACTATGTTTTCTAACATCACAAAATTATTTCTGTGTATAAATGTTCAAAAAAAAACAGATTTAAAAAAGATATACTTGAACCATTAAAGGACTCCTTAATTTTATGCTAACTTTCAAATAGTGACATGTTACTATTTAAATACAATAATCTAATTTACCTGTTTAAGAATGAAACTGCTAATCTATGAAATTTCAAAATAATTAGCAGGCAGGATGAACTCTTAAATTATTATATTAACCAGCTGAACAGATGAAGCCAAGACAGCCAAAAAAGACAAACAGAAAAAGGCTTTATCATTTTAGGTTTTTTTTTTAATTCTAAAGGACAGCAAAGAGTCTGCCAGTATAGCATTAAAATGGAATCTTAAATTACATTAGCTTCAAGCAGAGCAAAAGGTTAAATTAAGAGTCACAGAATCATAGAATCACTAGGTAGGAAGGGACCCTAAAAATCATCAAGTTCCAACCCCCCTGCCATGAGCAGGGAACCCTACCACTAGACCAGGTTGCACAAAACCTTGTCCAACCTGGCCTTAAAAGCTCCAGGGATGGGGCATCAACAACCTCCCTGGGCAACCCTTTCCAGTTCCTCACCACACTTATAGGGAAGCATTTCTTCCCAGTATCTAACCTAAATCTCCCCTCTCTCAGTTTAAAACCATTACCCCTCGGCCCATCACTGTCTTCTGTAGTGAAAAAACCCTCTCCAGCTTCCTGTAGCCCCTTTCAAGTACTGGAAGGTGCTATAAGGTCTCCCCAGAGCCTTCTCTTCTCTAGGCTGAACAGCCCCAGCTCTCTCAGCCTGTCTTCAGAGCAGAGGTGCTTCAGGCCTTTGATCACCTTGGTGGCCCTTCTCTGGACCCTCTCCAACAGGTCTATATCTTTCTTGTGCTGATGGCACCAGAACTGTATACAGTATTCCAGGTGTGGCCTCACCAGAGCAGAACAGAGGGACAGAATCACCTCCCTGGCCCTGCTGGCCACACTTCTTTTGATGCAACCTAGGATGTGTTTGCCTCTTCGGGCTCCAGCACACACTGGTGGCTCATGTCAAGCTTCTCATCTACTACCACCCCCAAGTCCTTC